AAACTATATAAATGTAAAATTTTATGCTGAACAACTTTACTTAGAAGATAAAAGTGGGTTACATAAGTAAAAAAAAAAGTTGTATATAGAAAAACTAGAATTTTTTACTTTAGTACATAGCTAACTCATTTTTCTATCAAGGTAATCTACTTTCATCTTCTAAGTAAAGTTGTTCAGAGCATCTTTTTACATATATTTATTATTTTAAAATCCGCAAATATTTGATTTTGGAAAAGTTAAATTTTCATTTTGTACAAAATTAACAAAATTTTAATTTAATTTTTAAGCTCAATTTTTTCTTCTTTTCTTGTTCTATATTCTCAGAAGATCTTAGCTCAAAGTTATATAGTAAATTTATATGTTTTTTTGAAAATTTTAATTATAAATAGCATTTTGACCTATCTTAAAGAAACATGTCCTGGATCTAATTTATCCTAATCTTTATTCTAATTAAGATATGTTCTTGCAGTTTATTTATTTATTTATTTTGTGTTGAAAAATTTTTTATGAAACAGTTTTTAAGTACATAAGATAAAATCATTATCATAAAAGTATTTACTTATTTTCAGTGAAAAATCAACCCTTTTTTTTTTCTACCAAAAATTTACAGCTTATTTCTAAATAGTAAGCATTAGGTATTACAAATAAAAAGACTAATAAGATTATTCTTTTTATTGGAATGTTGGAAAAATCTAAAAGTCCAGTATGAGCTTCAGATTTCTGCCAATGGCACCGTCTTACAGTTTATGTTTTATAGCGTTAATTGAAACCTTAATGCGAGCTAAAAAAAATAGTACCCACTCCTCATTGCCTAAATCCATTATTTGAGTAAATCGCACACTATATTTCTAGTTATTTGATATTGTACCAGAAAGTATGACTCAATATATGTACAAAAAAAAAAAAAAAAAAACAACTTTTTGTAATGATCAAAAGCTTATGCATGGATTATTATAAAAAATCGATCTGCCGGTCTTGAAAAAAAAAGACCTAAGCCAAACCCAGCTTTAATCGATTTTTCATTATTGTCCAGGATCACTAGATTTTGATCTCGTCCTTGGTGTACGAGGGTTTGTAGTTGCTTTCTTTGTCCTAGCCTTGACTGGTGCTTTTGATGTTGTTTTAGTCGTACGTTTTTTCTTCGTGCCACCAACAGAACTCGTTGGTGTAGTGACACCGCTACCTTCTGTTTCTGCCATAGGCGGTTCTCCTTCATGCCATAAATCTTCGAGGGTCCTGGATGAAATGACTGAAGAACTGGAACCAGAGTTTGAATCCTTCTTTCGACGTTTTCCACCATTTCCTTTTTTCTTAGCGTCATCATCTTCGACCTTGCGCTTTGACTGTTGATCACGAAGTTTAGCTTCAAGCTCATCATCTTCAAGAAGTAACGATACAATCTCTCGTGGTTTGAAGTCGACTTGCTTGAATTCACCGCCGGATATGACAACTTTTTGAATCTAAATTAAAATAAATAAATACCTTCACACATGTATCATTAAACACTTGATTATTATTTAATCTTACTTCATCTTTCTGCTTCGCGCGCTGAAGGATCCTTTCTTCAATAGTACCTTTGGTTATCAGTCTGTATACAGTAACTTGTTTAGTTTGACCCAATCTATGTGCACGATCCATAGCCTAAAATGAAAATAAACTGATTATTAAATGAATTTTTAATAGAGATGACAAAAAATTATTTCATCTATACCTGTTGGTCGACTGTAGGATTCCAATCACTATCATAAAAGATAACAGTATCTGCTGCTGTCAGATTAATACCTATATGCATCAATGGATAATATTGTGATTACCTTTATCGGAGCACTAACATTAAAATACTTAATAAAGTAGACTCTTACCTAAACCACCAGCACGAGTACTCAACAGGAAAACGAATATTTCAGATCTATAAGTATTCATCATAAGTAATTTTACACATAACACAAAATACATTCACAATAAATATTCAACCAGTTATAATGTAAATACCGCGTTTGCCAGTCTTCAACCATATCACGACGATCAGCTATTTTTGACGAACCATCGAGTCTTAAATACTTATATTGCCTGTACGCAAGGTATTCTTCCATCAGGTCGATCATACGCGTCATTTGGAAATAAATTAAAACCCGATGACCACCAGCTTTAAGTTCTTTGAGTAATTCATCAAGTTTTGTCAATTTCCCGGAATCCAAAACAAGTTTTTTAAGAGCTATAATGAAGATTAGTATAAGATTAAACCTTATATGATATTTAAAAAAAGTTTTATTTATTTAGCCAATCAAAACATACGTGGCACTCGCATATATGAGAACCCATTATCTTTCCGGTATGTCTGGCCTATTACGCCCTCACCCTCAGATTGAATTAAGAATTGACCAACAATGTTAGAATTCCGCTCGTTCTGAGGCATTAATTCTTTTATTCCTGAGAGGGCGGATCTTATAAATGGATTGAACATAAGTTGTTCTTGATCATTATAAAAACCTTTATCTATACACATAGGCTGAATTGGAGGAGAAATTGCCTAAAGGTTTAAACCGATGAAATTAATTAGATTGAACATATGACCAAAAGTTAAAAAAAAAAAAAAAAAAACCTTTGGCATATAACATAGATCCAATACAACTAATTCATGTCGAGTAGTATTTTCAAAAATGCTTGTTAAATCACTTAGGACCGATGATACTTCAATATTCATCGGTGCAAGCTTAAATGCTGTTTCAGCAATCAAAAAACGAGCATATGTATTGATTGGAACATTTGAATAGCTAAAAATAAATTAGAACGTTACCTTATTTAATTATTTGTATTTAATTAATAAGGTCAGGTCAGATTGCAACATACCTTTCGCCATCTTGTGTAATAAAAAATCTTCTTCGAGCTTTATGCACTCGTCGTAAAAGATGGAAAAGCCACCGTTGCAAAATATTGCTAAAGAAAACTTCAGACGCTTCTGAAGGGCTAATATCCACAAATTTCAAGAATGAAAATGTATCTATATAGGATATTATTAAAAGTAAAACACTTGGTTTAAACAATAAATATTTAAAATTGAAAATTAAATTTACCGTTTTTTTCGTCCCACAATGAATTATTTATATAATCGGGTCGCCAAATATTCATCAAATGATTAAAGATATTAGAACGAGATCCAGCATTTGAATTATTACCAGGTACATTCAAAAAGCCTGTCAATGTTACACATAAAATATTAATTTGATTCTTTCGTTTTTAGAAAGTACAAAAAAAAACTACCTCCACTTCGGAATATCGTTTTGGGAATTTTATAGGTAAGCACATTTTTTGTAGAATATGGAAGGTATAAATGTTCTTCTCGGGATATAATGAATGTAGAGCTATAATTACAAAAAGCAAAAGGAGCAGATACATCTGCTCTATCAAATAATTCCGGATGATTACACACTTTACGAAATTGCATTACTAAATTCATTAAACTATCGACATTATCATTGTCAGGCCATGTTGCAGCTTTTTCTAATAATTCTGTTACTGAAATCTTATCACGAAGACCACGATATAGAACACGTTGCCTCGCCGTTAACTGACAAAATACTTCTTTCTCTATTTTGTCTCCAAGTTCATTTTGAACATTTTTCTTTACACGGCGCAGCATGAAGGGTTTCAAAATCATGTGTAGTCGTTTAAGTTGGTGCTCATTTAACGAACCCTTATTTTCAGCATGACTTTCAATGTCCTTAGAAAACCATTCACTAAATTCCTGGTGCGAGTCAAAAAGAGTTGGCATAATAAAATGTAAAAGTGCCCACAATTCTTGCATACTGTTTTGGATCGGTGTGCCAGTCAGCAAGAGTCGATTACGACATTGAAAACCAAGAAGAGTTTTCCAGCGCGCGCTAAATAATTATCAATCGTTACTATGAATCTGCGATATAAGACTGTTTATATAACATTATATGTTACCTAGTGGAGCTCTTGATAGCCTGTGCCTCATCTAAAATCATATATTGCCATTTTGTTCTTGAAAAGTAACCCTGATCTTGAACAATCTATAAAAAATAATAATAATAATTTTGTAATAAATCTGTGATTGAATTTATGTAATTATATAAAAGAATTATTCGTACCAATTGGTAGCTTGTGATAACGACATGGAATGGGGCATCTTGATTAAATATTAGATTTCTTTTATTTAAGGATTTTCTTAGTATAGCTCGGTCTTTCATAGTGCCCCAATATGGCAAAATCTAGAAGGAAAGTATAATTAATCATATATTTAATGTGCCATTTCTAAATTTGTACTTTACCCTAAAAGCGGGAAGAAATTCAGCTATTTCTTTTTGCCAATTATGAAGAGTAGACGCTGGTGCGATTACTAAAAATGGGCCCCATATGTTATGAGTCTATAAATATAATATATATATTAGAATTAGGCACTAAATTGGATTTTGGCACTAACATAGTTTACAATTACCTCTGCAAGATGAGCCATCAACGATATAGATTGAACCGTCTTTCCCAACCCCTAAGTCAAGCAATACTTCTAGTGATGAATCGTAAAATACAACTTAAACCGTTAAACAAGCTTAAATGCCTACCATTTCATCAGCCAAAATTCCATTAATACCCTTTGTAATGATTATTATATTTATATGCAATTAGTGAAATATTTAAATAACAATAGCATATCTTTACATAATAATATCATATATACCTGCTCATAAAGGTTAGCTAGCCAATTTAATCCTCTTAACTGATAATCTTTCAACGTAACTTTTACTAGTATAGATGGTTGTTTAATTTCTGCCATTGATGGCATACTGGATGGGTTTTGAAAGTTCATTTGATCCACTAATATCATCGATAATAGTAACAATAATGATGAAATTAGTTTATTAATCTAAAATAAAATTTAAGCCATAAATTTATACTTACAATCTTGGTTCGTTACAGAAATCTCGTTTGATCCACTACCAGTTCTTTCACCATCAAAATCAGCTGTATGTTTTTTGACTTGTTTAAGAGCATTTTGTGCAATTATGCGTGCCTTTTCTCTAAGGGCATCTTCAGAGTCTATTCAATATTATTTAATATCAAAAGTATGAGTATCAATTACAAAATAATAACGAAACATTTGGTAGGGATGTTGACTGTATCAAGGCACCTTCATCAAAATCAATATCCGCGAAAGATGGGGGAACGGGGACCTCTGATTCAGCATCCATGTCCATGTCTATATTCAAATCAGCGTTTGAAGATTCTGTGATTTGATCGTTTGTCACTACATCAGCCTGATTAGAATTTTCCGAAACTTCGTTTGTCGTTTGAGCTTTATTATTCAATTGTATGAAATGAATATCTTTATATCATTTTTAAATAAACATTAATTTCATAAATTATAAAGCTCTTACTCCCAATTTTTTTTCCGACAAAGTGACTATAAAGTTCAGTTTGAGTTATGAGGAAATTTAGTTTTCGCGCTTGTCTTTTCGCTTCTCGTAGCTCTTCTTCCACTCGCATTCTCTCTAAAGCCTCTCTTTCCGCTTTTTTACGTAATTCACGCTCTTCCTTTTCATTACGTTTCCAAAACATGAGCATCTATTTTTTTTGAACAACAGTTAATACAAATCGTATATCAAAACTAACACAACTTATTAATAATATACAAAATAGTACCTGTTTATTGGCCTGTTTAACTCTACTTTGGATATCTTTTGCAGATTTACACGATTTTCCAGCAGCTTTACGAGCTTCTTTCTGGCATAATTGTGCAACTTTGCGACAATTATTAGCTCGAGAAGTCGTAGTCTGAATGACAATTTTATTCATCTATAAAATGTAGCACGAAAGCTTTAATTTTTATCTATATAAAGAATCAAATGCTAATACTATTCCAAAAACGTACCCTAGGTATAGCATTACGGACAATATCTTTCCATATTTTTCGTCGCTCCTCTACTTCTATTGCATCTCTATGTTTTTGAGCCTTCGCATCATGAGGTTGGCGCCTTAATCCAGCAATATCACTCTAGTATAAGGAATATAATTATGGTAAGAATTCAAATATTAAAATTTAACAATCGTGATTAATTATGCACTAACATCTTCATCAGTTTCAGTAGGTGGTTCCACGTAATGTTTTCGCTTTTCTTTTTTGTGTCTCGATCTACTTTTAAACGAGCCCATATCATTTTCCTTATCAGATGTTCTATGAGGAATGCGTAGGCTAATCCGACTTAAAAATTTCCGACGGAGGGTTTCTTTCTTCATCTAAAATGGTGATGCTATCATATTAAAAAGTTTTTTTTCTTCAAAAAAAGTACTCTTTTAATAATCACGTACCCTGCATCTTCTCTCGTATTCATCCACAACACGTTTTTGACGTTGATATACTTCTACCATGTAATTAATTAACTCTTCGCTGTATTTTTCTTCTATAGTGCCATCGGAATCACTCTCTTCAGATCCAGTTGATTCACTCGATTGACTTGTGCCATATCCTGCTTTTGAGCTTAAAGCTGTTGCACCCGAAGATTCAGATGAATGACTCAATTCCTGAGTATCAATTCCTGCAGCGTCAATGCGTGATGATTTTTTGGTCTTTGACACTTTATTTTGCGGTTTCTGATTAGATTGAGGTCGTTGTTTCGGTGATGTGACTCGTTTTGTACGAGCAATCGGGGAAACTTTTAATGTTGGAGATGCGGAAGTGGCTGGTAACTTACGATTGCTTTGAGAAAGCTGAAAAGTTTGTGGGGCAGAAATGATTTTTAGATTATCTGGTTCTTGAGATTCACGAGTCGAAGGATTGCTTGACGATTGTGAATTTTGATTTTGTTTTAATTTCTGATGATAGTTAACCGATAGAGAAAATGTGTAAGAGATCAAAGTATATATTTTAAGCGAATCATAAAAAGTTAAGGTCAATCATACAGCATAACCTCGGATGTAAATAAGTTCCGAAGCTGGAGTTTTTATTGTTCAAATATATAAAAATATTTCGTTAAATTAAGGTGGAATTTTTATAAACTAGTGTAAGTTTCATTATATCGAATTTCGTTATACAAAACTTTTGTTACATCGAGGTTATACTGTATTAATAGTCATCCTAATTTATTGAAAGAAAATAATTGTATTGATAGAATAGAAATTTTAAACTACGATAACCACATACCACAGCGAATCCCATCTCTGGTTCAGGTATTTTACGTGGAGGTGGAATAATTTTTAATTCTTCCTCTTCAGTGGATTCGCCTTCTGATCGGTCCGATCCATGTAAACTCGCATCAGTGTTTGCATCTGAAGCAGTTATAGCACTCTCTTTATCTTCCGTACTATCCGTTGGAGCATGTGTCAAATTTGATCTACCATATGGGCCACCATCAAATACACCGCCGGGGCCATTCTGTGATTTCGTAAATTGGAAGTTAGTATCTTCATTCGGATCTCTACTCAAAAGTTGATTAATGGACATAGGTAAAGGACGTAATGTCTTTAAAAAGATAAATGTATATAAGTATTAATAATTAATAAATTTGGTCGATCTTATTATTTTATTTTAATTTCGTTTAAATACCTCGTGAGGCACAACACCGGTATTTTCGTGGATACGGTGCAAAGAGTTTTGGTTTACATTTGAATTATGAATAAACGATAATGTTTGCTGTGGTACTGAAAATTATAGATCGAAATAAATAATCATATAAAATTTTGAAATAGTAAATAAATCGTTGGTTATAATTCTTTTTTTATTTACCGTGATTGCCGTGATCCACTTTGTACTGTGTGCCCGGTAGCTAGTGTTGTATTGTATTGTAAAGAAAAAGAAAGAAAAAAAAACAAGATTAACTTGTATTTCTATAATAATCTTAAATTTATGAAACTTAAATCTAGTCGCGTTATACTTATTAAAAAAAAAATAAAAAATAGAAAAAACCACTTACCTGATGAGCAGAAGGCTCGGAATAACCCCAGGAAGTGTTATTGTAAGCTGGTAAATGGCGCTGAATCGAAAGGATCGACGGTTGAAGAGAATGTGATAAGGTGGAGGGAGTAGACAAAGTGGTAGGAGGATAATCGTTATGATTATGTCCATAATGCGTGTTGTTCGTCTGTGAATTATACGAAAACGATAAAGTCGGCTGAGTATAAGGTGCCGCGTGAGAAGCTAAAGGAGGAAGCGAATAGTGGCTGGATGTGTGTGACATTGGTTGATCGTCCGAATTCAACAAGTTGTTTAAATTGAGAGCGGAGGTCCTATTAGAAGGAGGTGGACGCTGAGGTGGGTGGTCTGACGAGTAAGACCGAGATGAGGAATGGGCGCGGTCCCTCGCTGAATAATTATAACTTGACATGATTTATTTGTGAGAAAGTCAGGATATGCACCGAGCGCTTTTGAGTTTGATGGGTTGAGGCAGTTGCCTCACTTTATAGTTTTGATTTTCGCCGGCATGTGCATTCATTTTTTTATATATGATTGATACGGTTTATAGTGATACGAAAATAAGAGAGTAATTGATCATAACATTATCATAAAGATACTAACAGATTGTCCGTCACACGATACTTTCAAGGCAAGTGTCACAACATACAAAACTTCAAAACTCAAAAAAATTATAAATAAACAATCTAAATCTGAGTATAAACCTGTTTTATCATATAACAATTTGAGACTAATATTAAAGGCTTGAAAGATGATTTTGCTTTTCTAATCCTTTATTTTGAACAGAGCTTCGTTTTTTTTATCCGAATAATATTAATAATAATACTCAAATTATTCTAATAACTATATCAGATATAGCAGACGAAAAGCAACCAATAACTAGAGTTTCACATGATAAATAATAGATTGTTATTCGAACACGAAGCTCTAATCAATACCGATACCGCGAAATCTAGGTACTGCACGTGAATAATTCATATGATTATTGGTACGTCTACGGACAGTGCTTACGGAGAGTAATCAAAAATAACCAATTCTAAAACTTACTCTAACAAATCACGCGAATTTACACTGTCACTAAGCACTGTACATAGAATTTCAACCGGTACATACGTAGAAATCTGTAATCACGTTAATCGCCCACTACCTTATGAGACCTCCCTACTAAAGCAATTTTGGTCTCAGATCTAGAATGTAAAATTTTAGCATGCATAAGCAATATATTAAACATTCATTAGAGAAAAACTTGGTTCCATTAACTCGCCCTATATCGAATTTCTTTGAACTTGAGGTTTGGGAAATCAAAATATCATGTTCAGAAATGGGAATGACTCAGTTGCTAAGTGCTCGATTCACGCTGATCTTACTTAGGATGTGTTAATTTAAACCAAGCTAGTTAATTAAGACGATTATGACATAGTAACAGTAATACTATTTTGGCTGGCCACGGCCAATAGTCAGGACGAAATGGCTAAAATATAAATAAATGAAACGACCAAATATTTATATCATAAAGCTAGTAATTTGATTGGTCCATATTATGTAAATTAAAATTTTTGGCCACTACCGAGCGAAAAAGTGTTCGATCGGCCAAGCTACTAACACTACCATAAATCAATTCTTAAACTGACTCGGCTCAACCCAAGCCAATTCGAGAATCAATTTACGAGACAATTCGAGTCACAAAATTAACTTAGCTTTAAGTCAAGTTAGCGTTAATCGAGTCGCGCCCATCTGGGAAGAACTAAAGACGCAGGTGAAATTAAATCGGAGTGATGAAATAATTTTCACCATTATTGATGAGATTGATATTGAATTAGTGAAATTAATCATCTCTATTTGGAACCATGCATTTGATTAAATTGAAGTTTGAGGGCAACGGTAGACAACTAAAGTTGGTAGGAAGAGCGCATGCCATTTTTAAATCTGCCCATAATACGGCCAACAGGCAACCTTTTGTGCATGGTATTCTATTCGCATCAGGATCCTGATTTATTATCTTGCCCAGATTCAATAAACTTTTCAGAGACTATAATCACGAAAGACACCATTCTAATTAGATGTTTAGATGTCTAAGCCGAAACAGATAATATATTTTTCCTTACTTTTACATGCGGTCATTATATTTCATGTTCGTTAACGTAACGGATTCCAGACATATCAATAGTATCGACTTTTTATCCAGATTTATGGACCTCCTTTCAAGCATTCAAGCATTACAGGAGAAAGAAAATAATGTTAAAAATTTCTATAATAAGAAAATCCTTACATTCATTCTTAGCTTAGGATACTATTTTCGGTGAGTCAATTCGAAAACGAACTTAAAAGCGGAATATCATACTCTTGCAAAATGCGTTTTCACATGAGCAACGCAGGTTTTGAAGTAATACAAAATCTGCGTTACACATTGCCGTAGCATATCATATATATTCTCTAAAGCTCCGTAACAAAAACAGCACCAACTATAATGTCTCTAACAGATCTACCTTATGCTATCGACGCAGAATCATCGTTAACTATCGAAGAATTGAGTGTAAACTATTCAAATTTCATATTATTTTGTGTAGTCACAAAATTATTTACATTTAATGTTTTGAAATATAGGTGCTTCGTAGACAATTTGAAAAAGAAGTAAGGGAAGACGACGTTACAACACAAACAAAATTCAATTACGCATGGGGACTGATCAAAAGCAGAAGGAAAAATGAACAACAGTTAGGAGTTAGGCTGCTTGCAGGTAAACTTTTTTTTGTCTCACATCAATCAAATATTTACTATTCTTATATACATTATATTTGTTATGCAGAAATATTTAGGGAATCACCTGAACGTCGTCGCGAGTGTCTATATTATCTTGCCTTGGGTCACTTTAAATTAGGAGAATACACACATGCCAGGGACTATAATGATCAACTTCTCCAAAGGGAACCCAATAATTTACAAGCTCAGAATTTAAAAAAACTCATAGAAGATAAACTTAACAGAGGTACGTTTTTAGTTTCTAAATTTATATATCTTTTTTTTCGTTCATTTTAATCAATTTCTCTTAACGTGAATCTCAATAGAGGGGTTGGTGGGCGCTATGATCATGTCGGGAGTTGTTGGAGCTATTGCAATTGGCGGTTTATACATCGCATCATTATTCAAAGATAAGAGAAGATAAAAGATATGTAGTATCCAAATTAAACTTTAATTTAGTTAAGGCTTGCGGCAAAATAAAATAATTTACTTGCATGTCATAATTTATTGCATATAAGATAACTTAATCATTAGGTTGTTAATTAATCTTGAAAAGTAAGTATAAAGATTATAAAAAGAAAGCGAATAATTTTACATAACGATAAGATTGGATTAAAAATCAGAGTTAGCCTTGATCAATCAAATTAGTTCAATTGTATTAGAATATATTCTTTATATACAATCATATTTGTGTACTTTGATTAATTTGACCAGACTATTCGACCAACGACCATAAATTTTACCAACCTCATTTCTATAGGTCCATTATTTGAGTCGTAGTATTCGAGACGATCAGATACAGTAGTTCATGCTGTTTTTTTTTATCAGATAATTAGAATTCTCTTTTTTTATATCTAAGCCATAATTGAATAGGCAATCTCCAATCTTTTCTATTTACTTTTGATTCAAATACATTAAAATTATATTTTTCTAATCTCTTTAGGTATAAATCGCAAGGCACCTATCCAAAAAGGGTTGAAATATTTTAAATAAATATTAATAATATATTATACGTTTTCTGTTATCTTAATAGAATATTTACTTACAGCTGACAATAAAGCAGGTAAAGCTTGGCCAGGTATATATGGCAAGAATGATCTAGCAGTAAGTAAATGATCGTGAGCCAGTGTGGCTACTTCAAAAACAACATCATCTAACCCCTTAACGGGGCCTGATCTAAATATTTCTTCTTGTGAAATGTTATGCTGGAAGTAGCAAAACCAAATTTATATGTATTATGATAATTATAGATACTTAACCAAATTTGTAATAAGAATACCTTTGCGATGAGTTCAGTTGGTAATAGCATCCTTCTTTTACTAGCAAGATAAGGAAATGCCCTTAGAATAGTCACAACTCCAATAGCTTTTCCAATATGACTTGCGGCATGATCAGCTTGCATATCTTTAACGTTCAAAGATTCAAGGTGTAAATATAAAAGACATGATGCAGTATTTTCACCATATGATTCTAGATCTTTAACACTGAAATACGGTAAATCATCTAAATTTGCTTCCTAAAAAAAAAAAATAGTAGTTAATTGCTTGGAACGAAAGGGAAATTATTGAATACTAACCCTTTCACCGATAACTCTTTTAAAAAAGAGGGGTGACAATCGACAAGTCTCTAAAGCATTGAATAAGGCTTGAGCAATTGGCTGTTGAGGTGGCTTACCCTAATACAAAAATAGTAATACATTAAATTTGGTGGGATAGATAAGAGAAATATCGAAAGACGAACCTTGAACACATTATCAACGGTATCACGCCAAAATTGCATCCTTATCTTTCCAATTTGAGGATTACTAACCGAATCGCGAACCATAACTAATTCAAGATTAAAAGCACGTATAGCATAATAAACTTTTTGAAGATGTTTCGGATAAAACATTGACACAAGATAATTTTCTGGATCATGCTTTCTAAAATGATATATTGTAATAATAAGGTAGTGTATATATATAAGGGTAATTACAACAATAAACGCATCTCACACCTAACGAGATCACTGCAATACTTTATTGCCGCTTCTAATTTTTGACCTTTCTCCCTTTTTTCTGTATCATTTGATCTAGTGTAAAAGCATTTTCTACCAATATGACTGGAAATTCCTAAGCATTTAAAGCCTCTATGTACAAAGACTCGATTCATCAATTATTGATATGTTACCGGCATTAAGAAATTAGAATTCATAATTCTGTAATTCGTTGTATCACGTGATTTGGATTTTATCCTAGTAATTGTCGCAGATCATAATGAAATCGGATTAAAATGAAACTGGGGACCTTTCTTGCTCACCTTTAAAGCTTATAAAACCCACTTATACTCTTTTATTAATAAAACTAACTCTAAACCCTAACCCTAACCCTAAAAAATGTCCCCCAAAAAATTTTAAATCTTCCTAAAAAAATAGAAAAATTTCATTTTAATCCGATTTCATTTTAATCTGCCACAGTAATTGCCTTTCATTTTGCAAAAATAAGTATTTCCACGTACACCTATTTTTTATAAACACGTCTCCAAAATGTCGTTTCCTGAAGTGATAGTCATTCTCTTAGACATATCAAAGGCAATGTTGGCACCAGCAAACCAACTTGATTCAAAGTTAAAGTGTGCTATAACAGGTATTACGAATTATCGAGCCAGTGCTATTACTTAAGATACTAAAGATACTAAATTATTGATACTTTACTTTAGGAATAATTCACTTTTTAAAACTCTGCTCGTGGCAAACAATTACATGCATCACTTTTGCTTCTAACTGTAAAGTTCTGCAAGAATTTACTAATGATCATACATTATTAACCGAAGCTTTAAATAAGTATGCTATCTACTTCTACTTGTGTTATTCATCGATTAAATAACGCGTTGAAAATATGGTTTTACTTTTTATATAGGTGGGAATTTCTCTCGGACGACCCCTCCGGGGAAATACAAGTGGCCTTGGAATTCGCTGAACATTATGTAATTGAGAAATTCGGTTTAAGTCAAGCGTGTCAAATTATTGTAATTACAGATGGTCGAATACCACAAGGTACAACAATGTTTTCTGGAAATCACATCTATGTTACGGATTTATAATATACATGCATATACACAAATGTAGATTCGAATTTCACCAAAAATTCCGAGTCCAATTCAGCTAAATTCTATAATCCTCTCTGGCGACTTCATATTATTTGTTTAGCGGATGAAGTTAGTAAAGATGATCATTCAAAACAAACCAATTATACATTGCAATGGTATAAGAAACTTTTAAACAGACATTTACCGTCCAGAGTTACTAAAAATCACCCTAAAGGTGAATTTACTCTTGAAAAAGAAGGTGCCTTTTATTTCTTACTGTATCCCCACACTACATATAAAATTACGAATGCTGTTAACGTGATTGCTGAAAAATACTGTATCCTTAACTTGTGCTACCAGATGTGTAGATGGGGTCTTTGTCTCGAAATGGTCTTATGGAATATAGCAATTATATTATCAAAACTTGGTTTTCAAGGCAAAGGCACCAAATAACTTTGATTATATTTAATTATGTTCCCTTTACTTTAAAAATTATCCTATCTATATAAAGTTGTACCATGTAAGGGCATCCTTTCTCTTGGAAAAATAACCATGTCAATACACATATATCCTATCATCCATATAGATGATGATGGTAATTTATTTATTATTTAATCTTAATCTTAGTTAACGTCTTTTATTAATTGATTTTACATCTCGATTAAAGTACAGCAATCGATAAAAATTATGTCTATTGTGGGATTTAAGCCAAAAGAATTGCTACAAGGGGAGTCTACTTATTTGCGATTTTGGATGTTTTTAAATGATGAAATTAAAGAAAATGGGGTAATAAATTAAATCAGTCTATTCATTTTAATAATAGCAAATGAATTATTAACCCTTATAATATTTTTAATATAGTGCAATGAATATTTTCACGTCTTAAGTTCATCATTAAAAAAGGAAAATCGAGTAGCAATCGTTTGGTTGCAAAAGAATACATACGCTACCATAGAAGCACCGCCTTCTGGGTCATGTATGTTTTTTGAATTAATATTGTGTGCTGCTACACTAACATTGGTGTGTAAATTGACATATTTTTAAACTGGCTAATTGAATAGATTTCTATTTCACAATGTATTCACATGAAAGTGCAAAAAATTTGGTGATCCCATCACCGACACCTATAAATACGCAGCCCAAGAGTTATTTATCTAATAACATCGAATTGCCTAAAACAGAATTTGTTGAGGTATTATAACTGGATTTAATGTACCGTAGTTTTCCACATAAACGCCCATTATGATAGGCCCTTTATAGTAGACCCGGGTTTGATAAAAGTTGAAGAATACTAGACCTTTGATAGTGACCCCTTCCTTTACAAGCCCGGGTTTAAATCGGTTTTTAGATTTAAAGTAAGAGATCCTGAGTTGCTTATGTAGCAAATTACGGTAGTAAAATTCAAAAGTCGTAAGTTAAAGTTTACGACATATAAGACACGTCAATCTTTCATTTAAATAGTCGATGTTGAATAAAATCCCAAGATACGTTGCAAATTTGCCGAATGAGACTGCTAAATTAACAACAGTGTAAGCTTAATTACCATAATCTTTGTTTTCAATTGCAATATATGTACATCCGTTATGACAAATGTTTACTATGCATACTCTTAGTATTCAGCAAATTTCGAGAATTACGGATATGTTTTGCTATACGTCGCTTCGGGAAAAAGTAATTGAGAATTTGCAAGACCTTCGGTAAATGTTTATACAAATTTTTCATTTATAATCCACATTTAAATAACCTAATAATTTCAATTTATAGAATTCAATCACCAGAAGCTGAGAACCGGGCAATCCTTACGCAATGCTTACAACTATTAGGTGATACTGACTTAGAAGAGGAAGATGATGAAATTGAAACAATGGATTATGAGGAAGAAAGAGAGGATCCCGAAGACTACGAAGATCATAAAAATGAGGAACGTAGTAATGCTAGAATTTCACTCAATGATTTGTTGAATTGGTGATCAAATATACAGTGGCGATCATAATAATGCAGCAAAAAAATATATATGTTGTTCAGTAATTCCGGATGTATCTTTTTATTTTAATATTTTATTCGTAAAACAGAAAAGAAACATTGTTTTTGACTAGACCTATTTTATTACCTACCCAAAAATATATATTTCTAATTACGATTGTTTTTGACCCGTATAATGTAACATGTCGTTATTATCGTCTTCTCATACGGGATGCCGTAGTTTCGCGGAAATTAACATTAAAATCGAGTCAATTAATTGTATATAAATAATATAATGAGTTATTATACGTATTAAATGGATTATATTTAAAATTAAAAAAAATCCACTCATATATCATTGCTGCAGGGTACATTCCTTTTATCAGCTATGTATCGGAGTATAACTTATATATACTGTAATTTAAAAGTGGTCCTAACCCTAAATTTAAATTATGAGTTGCCCCATTTTCAAATGTTTCCTTAATCTGAACTACCCTCCTGTGTTCAAACTAATGTTTTTCTTTTCCTATAAGATATCGATGCGCGAAAGGCTAAAGTAGGGCTGCTAAAATGCTCATTGAAGTTGGTCCTTGAGTTGACTTAGCAAGAACTTTTTAAAGTCAACTCAAGTTTACTTTTGAACAAAGTTTTTACTTCTTGCACCCTTACATAATTATACATAGTTGTGCATAAAATATGCGAGATATGTATAAAAATATGCAAGGGGTGCATGAAATATGCAATAGTTGCATGAAATATGCAATAGTTGTATAAAAATATGCAAAAAATGAACTAACTTGAGCTCAACTTAACTCAACTTTTAAGTTGAGCAAAGTAGAACTTTTAACACTCCTAGGCTAAAGGTAAATTTATATATTATGTCTAATGGAATCAGCTAGTAATATATTTATTATTAAGAACATATCAAATGGTTTTGAACTATTCTTTATTAGCCTGATATATTATGATGATAAAGAACTTGAAGAACTACATGTATATCAAAAGGTTTAAAGAATTGTAAATGTAAATAAATTAATATATATTTAACTAATGCTAAATTAATATTTGCAGTATGTTGTATATTATATAAAGCTTTCATCTGAAAATGAATTTGTAGCAAATAAAGAGTCACTGTTATATTATGACAGTTGCGATTGTATTGATAATTGTATATCAGAAGATTGTGGATATAAATTATGATATAGTTACTTATATTATTTTAATAATACTGAGTTTTATTTACTATATTGCACTAATTTTTAAAATATCATCAATAAGATATTTTTATACTAAATGACACTCATATTAGCAATATTTCAATTTAAAATTTTCTGTACCTACATCAATCTATTGTTATAGAACGAATTTATTATTAGTTTATTATTTTATTATTTATTAATTATCTTAGAATATTATTATTATCTT